TTACACCAATATCACCACAAACTCATGAGTAAGGACCGTATGACCACTGCATCACTAGGTGATAAGAATTTTTCAGTTCCATAGGACCACTGTCATATATGTGATCTGTTGTTGATGGAAGTGATATATGGCAATTAACTGTAAAATTACATATTGGGGGAATACTAACATCTTGACAACCTTCTCCTGCTGGTCATTGCTCATGTTAATTTTAGATTTTTTATGTTCAATGTAAGGCTCAGTGGTTGACATCCTATAGGCCCTGCACAGGGAAGCTGTCTGTTCTACAGAGTGATCTGTAACTTGGCTGAACCTAGGGAAGGATGATAACTCTTGGCTTGAGAAAGAGAACCTTTATCATGTTCACAGTTTCTTTCAGATTCTAAGAAATATTATCAGAAATAACATGATGAACTTTAGCAAAGTTCCTTTGAGCATTTAGAGAAATGATCACTATTTTCCCTTTGACGTTGTGACAAAGTTATTGCTTTTATCACCTCCTAGGGTCAAACTATCCTTCCATTCCTAGAACAACCTTACTTGGTCACAGGATAATTTGTCTGCTTTTAGACTTGAGTAGGAATATTTTATTTTTAAGTTACAGTGGGGGCCTTGACTTACGAGTTTAATTCGTTCCGTGACGGAGCTCGTAACTCAAATTACTCGTATGTCACGAGTGAGACACGTGATGCTGGGCTGATGTGGCGTTCACTGTGACATTCGCTGCGCCAATTAGCGGTGGGGTATCTGAAGCTGGCTCGTAACCCGAATTTTAGCTTGCAACTCAAAGCAAAAAATCAGCCAAGAGACGGCTTGTATCTCGAAAAACTCATTAGTCGGGACACTCGTAAGTCAAGGCCCCACTGTATTTCGTTTAGTCATTTATAGCTGAGATTACTCTGTATAGGTTTTTCTTTGAATCTAACTTTGTTAGGTTTTGGTACCAAGTTTATGAAATGAATTGTCCAACTCCCTATTTAATGATAATGCTCAACACTGTCTCCTGTGCTTGATTTTCAGCTAATAGTACTGGACCCACCGGTGAGTAGTTGGGTGCCCTGTGGCCCACAGCTTACCCACCTGGGTGGCAAGTGCCATGGTGTGAGGACTCCTTATGCCTCCCATAGCCCCTTGTAGAGTCAGCGTAGACTTGGACAGCACAGAATTTTCACATCACCTGTGTTGTGCTTTAAGCTTATGTCAGCCAGCCCTGCTCCTGGTCCAGACTTCTACCTCTTCTCCCACCCATAGGTAGAAGAAAGCAAGAGTGAGTGGTCTGTTCCACACTGTTTTACTATTTATGCAGCTCAAAAAACAATCGTGGTGGCAGCCAGGTAAGAGCCTTTCACATCTGCATCCCAGTGGGCCCTGGGAGCCCATGAGTAGGGGCTCCCCTGCCATGAGCCAGAGTTCCCTCTGAGTGATGAGAGTGTCATTCCCACAGTCAGGAGTGATGTGTGCCCCTTGAGCATTGCTTCTCCAGTGGTGGGGAGCCAGAGAACATCTCCACAGACTGGCCATGGCACTGCCAAGCTGCTTCCTGCCCTTGACAAGAACAGGCCTGCAAAGACTATCGGTCTCCAGGGGCACAAGCTCTTTGGCACACTCAAGTTAAGGGGCAGTGCCAGCGGGTTAGTGGAAGAACGACAGGGCAGCCAGGCTGGGGCCCTCCTCACCTGCACCCTAGCCCCTAGCTGTGCAGTGAGGCTGATGGGCCACAGCTCAGGGGCAAATGGCCACTTTCCCCTATTCGACATCAGACCAACGAAGGAGGGGCAGCCCGACCTCCGTCAGCACCATGCTGTGCTGTCCTCCCCTGGGGGAGCAGGGGGACTCCAGTGTTTCTCCTTCTCTCAGGCAGGCATCCACCAGCTCCCACCAGGAAACAGTGATCCAGGAAACAACCAGTCTCGTATCTGAGACTTTAAACCTTGTTTTAGGAACAGATGACCCCGTAGAGAACTCCAGTCCACACCAAGGTGCTGCCCTCCCTCCTCCTGCCCCTGGCAGCCCACAGAGGGATGCAAGCTGGGCCACCAGCAGCACTCTGGACCATCCTTTGAACCCTGAGACAGGCATCCCGCACTCCTGTCCCCTCTGAGAGATTGTGCGGGCCCTGAGGGCCAGCTCTGAGCCTCAGCCCGCCCTCCCGCCCCTCCCTCTCCCCACAGCACTCAGCTGGAAAAGGAGAAGTGGATGCATGACCTGAACAATGCCATTGAAGCGGCAAAGAGCAGTGGCAACATGACCCTGGCTCTGCCAGGCAGCGCGGTGTGCATTCCTCCCCGCAGTGAGTTCTGGCTGAGACCCCCTGTACTGAGGAAGCTTTCCTATAAACCGGTTTCCTAGGTCACGTTCTACCCACTAAGCCCACGTGCTCTTATACAAGGTTCCAGGCAGAAGGGCAAGCTCTTCCGGCAGAAGCCCATATAGTTTTGCTCTTGGCCTGAGCACAAAGGGATAGCTCCCCTGCTCTCAGGGCTCCATTCACCAGCGTGGTCCTGTCCCCGCTGAGCAGATGCCTGACTTCTCCCCCAGGACCCTCCGATGAAGTCTCCCTGGAGCAGGAGTCAGAAGATGATGCACATGGTCCCCACAGCTCCTCGGAGGGGCCAGGCCAGCACCGGGCCAACACCACGGTGCACGTGTGCTGGTACCGGAACACCAGTGTCTCCAGAGCTGACCACAGCGCAGCCGTTGAGGTACGAGGTATAACTGGCACAAGCACCCTCTCAGCTTGTGTTTGCTGAGGTTAAGGGACCCTGGGGATCGCAGGCAGCAGGACTGGGCCAGGCCATGGCGAGCTGCCTCCTGCTCTCTTTGGGCAGGAAATTGGTTTGGAAAAGTCCCCTCAGGCATAGCAGCCCAGGGTTTTTGCCAGAGCTGTGGAGTGACAGTCACCCTCAGGACTAGAGCAACCTAGTGAGGAAAACTCAGAGGCCCGTGTGCTGGGAAGAACAGGGAAACTGGTGTCTCCAGAGGCTCTCCAGAGGGCCCCCGCCCCCCTCACCAGTCAGGGGTGCCTGTGAACAGGAGTGTCCCCTGACTTGAGCAGCTCAGCCATCTGTGCTATCCTGTGGGTGGCTGCTTGGGTGGTGAAGGCCGCAGATGTGCTCAGAACCCGTGCCCCTCACGGTGAGGGCACAGAAAGAAGTGTGGTACCAGCAGGAGGGTGGGAGGGGCGAAAGGAGGGGGCACTGCAGAGAAGGGTCAGCCCTGGGCCAGGGCTCCCAACGTATCAGCACAAGAGCGGCTCAGTCCTAAGGCTGCCCAGCGGATACCTGCTTGGGCTGGGGTTACATCCCTGCCCTCACCCAGCATGTGAAAGAACCTTCTAGACTTGGCTGCACATGGTCTATTACAGCATTCTCCCTTCGTGCTAGGGCATTTGTGAGGATGGGGATGGGGGGGGGCTGGCTGTATTCTTGGGGAGCACACCTGCTCCCAGGAGATCCCAAGAGGATGGAGCCAGGGGGGATTGCTCTGATGGGCGGCGGTCTTGGGACCTTAACTAATGCACTTTTGCTTTTTCCTTTTAGAACCAGCTTTCAGGGTATCTGCTAAGAAAGTTCAAAAACAGTAATGGCTGGCAGAAGCTCTGGGTGGTCTTCACCAATTTCTGCTTGTTCTTCTACAAAACACATCAGGTAGGGGTGTTTACCAGGGCCCGGGGTAGCCTGCCCATGGTGCTAGAGGGCCCACCATGCCCTTCTCTCTCACTTCAGAATGTCCTTACCCTTCCCCAGGGCCTCTGGGCCTGTGTGACCCTACTGGCACAGGACGGGAGGGGAGGGGAGGGGTGGAGGAGAGGAGAGGTGGCTGGGGAATGAATGCCCATGGAGCCGTGCTGCCTTCTAGGATGACTATCCCCTGGCTAGCCTCCCCCTGCTGGGCTACAGTGTGAGCATCCCCAGGGAGGCTGACGGCATCCACAAGGAGCATGTCTTCAAGCTGCAGTTCAAATCTCATGTTTACTTCTTCCGGGCCGAGAGCAAGTACACGTTTGGGAGGTAACTGCAGTGGACTGCCTGGTTCTCCTGCTCCCACTGGGGGCTGGAGGCAAGTTCCTGGTGTTGGGAAGAAAGGGCTGCGCATGGCTTCCTGGGTTTTCACTGGCCCTCGTCTTGTCCCATTCACTCCGTATCTTGGGAAGGTATTTGAGCACAAGCCCACTGTCAGATGGCCAGAAAGTGCCCTGCTTCCCAAGCGGGCATCCTGGGCTTTCTGACGGGACCACCCCTTCTGCAGGTGGATGGAGGTGATTGAGAGAGCCAGCAGCTCGCCCGGGAAGGCTGGGGGCCCCGAGGAGGCATGAAGCCCATTCTCCCTGGATGAGGACAGTGCCCAGGAAGCAAAGCACAGTCAGCACAGGCCCCACGACTGCTCATCCCGAGTCTTCCCAACAACGGATCAGCTGTATGGGTGGGCCTCACTGTGACATCGGGGAAGGACACTGTCCTCTTGAAGACCCAGTGCAGTCCCCTGGCCCTGTGGGGCCCCGGCAAGAACACCAAAGTGAAAATGCAGGCCCAGCTCCAGGGTGGCCACCAAGCCGGTGCTCGCCTGCCCTCTCCTCTTCTAGAACAGGGCCCTGCTGAGAAAGGGCTTTGAGCAGGAACTAGGGTGGCCCCAAATCACTCACTGCTGTACATAGGCCTGGCTGCCCTGTCCTTCAGTCTGGGTCAACCAGGGGTGAGGCACAGGCCTCAGGTCACAGCTGCACAAAAGTCCAGCATAAGCCACTCTGGTGCCCCCCCTCCCACATACCTCTGGAGAAGTGGAAACCAAAGTTCCTTATGGCCCTGGGAGGGCAAGGGCCTCTAATTTATTAGTACCCAGTATTTCTTAACGAGTGGAAGTAGACATGCACCTGCTTATGTGTGTGTGGCTGAAAATAAAGGGCATCTTTCTGCACCTGCCTGCTCAGTCTCGGGTCACTCCAAGGGGGAGACAGGGCTGTAGAGACCCTGGCCTGGATCCCCACCCACCACCAGTACGTCTTCATTTCAGGTCTTTATTGAAAGTGGCAGAAGTCTCTCAATGTCCTATGAAAACTAACACCTTAACCTCAGAGTATAAGGGGAAACAAGGAAGTTCGGTTTTCTTAAACAAAAAACATTCTGGCTGACACTCGTACTTATGAGAAGACACAGTACCCGATCCAACACCACAAGGCAAATCTACAACCACTGTGGGCCAACGTGGGCCCTGGGTGGGGGCGGGGCGCCTGGGGGAGCGGGGGAGAAGGCTGACTTGCCCAACAGCTCCCCCACCTTCAGTTCCAGTGGCTACCATCCCGTGAGTCCAAGGAGGGACGGCTCTGCCAAGGGGAGTTGAGGAGGCTGCACCTGCCGCCTCCAGGGCTGCACAGTTCTCCATGAGTCTTTGCTGCCGGGTAACCTCAGCCAGGCCAGGAGGAAATGGAAGCAGACAGCCCTCAGCACAGGGTGGGGGGCCCTGTCCCACAAGGGGTTCCAAGTCAGCACAGTCCGTACAGAGCTCAAAACAAGACCCTTCTCTCCCCTCTGCACAAACAGCAGCTTTAGCGGGCAGACGGCAGGTGGTTTCTGTTGTGTGAAAACCTAGAGGAGAGAGACCCTGTCACTACCCCTGGCTCCAGTGCAGGCCCACAGGAAGCCACCAGGTGGCGTGGGCTGAGTCAGCAACACAGAGCAGCCTGGGAGGGGATGGGGGCACCTCCCATTGTAGCCCACTATTGGCAGGAAACGCCACCCTCCTCTCTCCAGCCCTGAAGCTACAAAACAGAAAGGAAGAGAGGCAGAGAGCCTCTTCCAGAGTGACCCCTATAGCCCGTCCTGGGGTCCCACCCCAGCTCCCCCTCACCTCTGCACCCGCTCCACCAGGTGAGCCATCAGCTTGTCAGAGATGCCGGGGCAGGACTCCTCGGCCAGGCTGAAGGCGTTCTCCAGCTCCTCCAGAGCCCCCACACCCCCGCCACTCTGCCTGTGCTTCTCTTTGAGCTGTGGACAGACCACCGTGCGCCTGGTCAGAGGCTCACGCTGAAGGCTTCTCAGGCTCTCTCCTATGACTTGCATTTGGGGGCCCCACTCATGGTCCTTCCACCATAAAGCCAGGATGGCTGGGTCCAACCAGGGGTTGCCCCCCTCAGAGTCTCAGGTCTTGGTTCTCAACAGGGGTGTCTCTGCCAGCCTCCCATGCTGTGGTAGACCCAGCTAACCACAGGACTTCCTCCCATTGTAAATGACACTCAGGGCTCAGGACCAACGGACTTGAGAAAACAGCCCAGAAACGATAACTCCCAGAGTGCACTGCACAGCCAGACCGCCTGCTCTGACCCTCAGGGTGAGAGGACACTAGTAGCCACCCCTCAGCCTCCACGCTGCCCCAAGCTGTGGGGACCACTGACCTGGCAGGAGCAGTTAGGGACAGGTCAGCATGGCCCGCCCTGCCACACCCTGACACCTGACACAAATGAGGAAGAGCCTACATGTCTCCCAGTTCACCCCACCGGGCAGCCCAGATCTCAGGCCCAGCTTACAGGATCAGGACCCCTAAGGGATGCCCCTGTGAGCCTGGGTGGGGCTCTGCCTCCCCACTGGGCTCACTGTGGAGGCTGCAACAGCCTACAGATCCCCCCCCATAAACACACACACACACACACACACACACACACACACACACGTGCTCCAAGCAGTTTGGGATATGGTAGTCCCGCCCTTCTCTCCAACACCTGTCAACTCCCCAGTTCCTACCCCACGTGGAGCCCAGCCTCTAATCCAAGTATTCAAGCTGAGCTCATAATTTCCCACAGGGTCCATGACAACCAGCTCCATCCGACCTCCTGCCCTCGAATTCCAGGCTTCGGGGGCTAGAAGCGCGCTGCCCTGCCCAGACGCCCCCACCTTCCTCGGGAAGACTCTGCTGCATCCTGTCCCCCTCCCTGGATTCCCAGTGCTGCCTTCACTCTGGGGTAGAAACTGGCCACTCTGGGGGCTCTCAGCTGCATCGTACTCCCATCAGCAGGTGACACAGATACAGGATCAATCACCATGAAGCAAGAACTAGGCCTCAAGATGCTTCTGGTCATCCCATATGTTTGCAGTTCAAAGCCATCCTGGGACCCCAGGCAGGACAAGAGCAGGCCAGGGAACTTGAGAGAGCCATGTTAGGGCAACCAGTCTCAGCTGTTCCTAGTCCTTCTGCTACAAAGCCTGGCCAAGAATTAAACTGTGAACTCCAAGGGACCTGGAACCCTGTGTACTGGGCACTGCAGCCCCATGCCCCACAGAACCCCCAGCCTAGCCCTCACCTCTCCGAAGACAGGCCGGACCAGCGTGGACAGGCACTGGGACCGCGGCTGCCTCTTGACGGACTCCACAGCCTGTAAAAGCAAGGCCACAGCGAGGTGAACAGGGCAGAGAGGCAAGTGGATTCCCGGGGCAGGTGTGCTCCACCCTGGCCCCGTTTCTAGCCTCCTTGAGAGATGCAGAATGTGAGAAGCACAAGGCACCCTCCCAGCACATGCAGGGCCAGGGCCTGGGGGACTGCACCTTCTGGGGGCCATGCAGGGCTGTCCCCTTGTGCAGCTTGCTGTGTGGGCTCGGCCGGATGGTTGGGGGAAACGTCCAGATGGGGCCCTGTTCTCCGTCCTCAGCATCTCCATCACTGCAGAGGAGAGTGAAGTCAAGAGGGCCCTGAGGGCCAGGATTCAGGGGGATCCCAAGCACACGCCTCTCAGCACCCCCACCCCACCACTTTCTGAGGCATCCTTACGGCCCTAAATGCTGGGTAGGGCCTTGCTCAGACTGCAGGAGCCAGGTGACCACAAAGGTCCTCAGAAACCAGCACCCAAGTTCCCGCCCTGGAGCAGGGACCCCTTGCATGTCACAGCCCAGGGCAGACACCCTGCGTGACAAGCAGGCCTACATGTCCGAGTCCTCGGAGCTCGACTCCTCGCCGTGCCCCTCAGACTTCCAGCGCTTGTAGCGGTCGATGAGCTCGGTCAGGAAGGAGGTCTTCCTGGTGTATCGTGTGATGAACTTGTGCTTCAGGAGCTCCTTGGCGGTGGGCCGCTGCGGGCAATGGGCAGGCGTCACCGGGTGAGGGCTGGCTGGGCTCATCCTGCAAACTCCTGGAGCTTGGACTCCAGGCAGCCAGGCTGGGAACGGGCCTGGCCATCAAGCTCTCTGACAGGACCCGTGAGGGGTTCCGAGGGAGGCAACCAGGAAGCTGGGGCTGGGCTCCACTATCTGCCCGGGCCAAAACCCTCCAAGAGCTTCCCCAGACCCTGAACTAGGCAGGGCCTAGGGCCCTGTCACCTCCCATTCCCACCAGACCTTCCCAGAGGGCTGGAGCTGTCCTAGCCCACCCCATGTGGCCAGGGGCCTGAAGCTTACGAAGCGGGGGTCCTTGTTAAGGCAGGCCTCCACAAACTCCTTGAAAGGCTTGCTGTGGTGGCCCTCCAGCGTGGGCGGGCTGTTCTTGGGGATCAGGAACAGGACGCGCATGGGGTGGAGGTCAGAGTTCGGAGGCTCACCCTTGGCCAGCTCGATGGCTGTGATCCCCAGCGACCAAATGTCGGCCTGGACAGAGCCACACAGGACAGTTGCCACTAGGGGCACCCTGAACCCTGCTGCAGCCACCCTCATGCCTGCCGTGCCCACCTTGAAGTCATAGGCTGACTGCTTGATGACTTCGGGTGCCATCCAGAAGGGGGTGCCCACAAATGTGTTCCTCTTGATCTGCGTGTCCGTGAGCTGCCCCGCCACCCCGAAGTCTGCCAGCTTCACGTCACCTTGCTCTGAGAGCAGCACATTGGCAGCTGCCCAACACAGGACAGCAGGGCGTCACCCTTTGAGCCACTGCAAAGATGCGCCTATGTGCCACCCTATGTGCAGTTGCAAAAGACGCGCCTGCTGGCAGCCACCTGGTCTCCTGGGGACACCAGCAGAGCTGTCCCTGAGACCTCATCTTGTCTCTCCTCCATCCAGCAGGCTAGAGATGGGAACAGATCTGTCCACCCTCAGACCCAAGGCCATAGGGCAGTGCCAGCAAGCTAGGGGCCCACCGTGTGCAGCCCCCCAGCCCAAGCTCCAGGACCCTGCCATAGTTTGCCTTTTATGACAGATCCCAAAAAACACAGCAATTGCCTTTTTCTCCCAAACCGCCCAGAAGGCAGGGCTTTCCCCTCACTCCACCACCCAACATGCAGATTCCCTCACTCCACCAGAGTCTCCAGTCAGCCTCTCAGCCACATCCCTCCTAGGGACACTCAGCAGGGCCAGCCCACACCTTACATAAAGAATGTACACCTCTGACTTAAATAGGGTCCCTTCTCACACTAGACGCACAGTAGGTGTTTTTGCCATACAGAAATATGGTGCTAAGAAAGTTCTACCAGTTACTGGCTGTGTTTTCTGGCAACTGAGCTGATGGCTATGCTCAGGATCCAGTGAACACTAGGTTACAAGGGTCCCCGCATCCCAGATGCCTGGCACCACCATCCACATGCCCATATCAGCCTGCCACCTCATGCCCTGGTCTTTCTAGGGTCACGGAGCTCAGGGGCCCAGGCAGGAGCCATGCCCTGAGGGACCTTTGATGTCTCTGTGGATCTTGCGCTCCGAGTGCAGGTAGTCCAGGCCCTTCAGAATCTCCCGCAGGATCGTGGCGATGTAGGTCTCCTCCAGGGGGCCCGGTTTCAACTGTGCACAGACCGGACAGCAGGGCCTCAGACTCCCTCCACCAAGGCCAATCTGCCCTTCCTTCCACACCACCCCAGACTGTCACCAAGGCTCCAGCTCAACCTCCTCGCCACCAGGGGAGGGTGACCCTGTGCATAGTGGGGCTCCCTACTCCATTAACTACTTTGGAAATAAAATGAAGTTTCAGGTGTGGGTCAAGAGGCTGTTTTTAGAGAACATACAATACCTTCACCTTCACTGTAAAGGTAACAGATGAAAATGGGGTCCCAGCCACATTCTACGCCTGTATGACTGGGGACACTAACCCTCCTGCCCCCTCCCCAGGCCAGAAGATGCTCAGGACCCTCAGCACCCACCAGTGGGACTAAAAATAGCACTTCATTTGGGCTTAGTCGGCTCCTGGCTGAAAATACACCAACACAGCGCAGGAAAGGAGGCCCACGGAGTCTAGGGACACCGCTGGGACAACCCCATAGCAACCTTTGGTCTGGTCCTGCCCCTAGCAAGCTGCCCACTGTTTCGGCCTACACCTCACCAGGTCCAGTGCGGAGCCGCCGCCCAGGTACTCCATGATAATCCACAGCTTTGTGCTCTGGGACCAGAGAAATGCCTGTCAGTACGTGGTAGTCGGCAGGGAGCACCCCAGGCCACATGACACACTCCCAGGCAGGGCTCCGGCCTGTGGGGAACCCTCCAAGAAAGGGATCCAGCAGCCTCACCCGGCTCCCCTCCCATCACACTCCTATGACAGCAGCTTTGCAGATGGAACATGTGCTCAGACAAGTAGCCAAGTCTACTCTGCAACAGGCCATCAAAAACTTGGCTGGGGAGACAGCTGCCCAGCTAGCGCTTGACCTCGATGTATCCACACGTGTGCCCTGGCCAGGCCCCCGAGCTGGCACTGGGCTCTACTACAGGACCTCAGAAATGCCATCCCACTGGGGCTACCCCAGCCAGGGAGTCATACAGCCCATTCAGACTCTGCAGACTCCACTCAGGCCCTGCCTCTCCCAGGGCTCCCCCTCAGGATGAGACAGGAGTCTCCCAAACACCTGCCTGGCCCTCTGGGCTATTGTTTTGGGGGCCTGCTCAACTGTGAAGCTGTGTCCATGCTCGCTGTCAAGCCATGCCTCTCCTCCCTGTTGTTCCAATATGGGGGCAGGTGCAGAGACTGTTGGGTTTAGCCCTGGCCCCAGGGAACCCTGGGCATCCACCTGAGCACGGGCCCCACCCCCAGACACCTTCAGGTAGGAGCCGAAGTATCGGGTGATGTAGGGGCTGTCACACTGGCTGAGCACAGTGATCTCCTGCTGGATGTCCTCGATCTCGTCCTCGGCCTCCTCCAGGTCAATGATCTTGATGGCCACCACCTCCTTGGTGCGGTTGTCGATGCCCTTGAACACCTCCCCAAAGGAGCCCTTGCCAATGCGGTCCAGCTTGGTAAAGAGCTCCTCGGGGTCCACACGCGAGTGCTGCAGGAACACAGGGCGGGCAGCCCCGTCAGGGCAGGCAGCTGCAGGCCGTGGGGATCCCATGTGCCAGCAGCAGACAGGAGCTCACCCAGGTTCTTTCTGAGTTTCCTCTTTCATCCCTTTTGTTTCAGGAAACCAAAATGCACCCTCCACAGGGAGATCCTCAGAGAGCACAGAGGCCTGGCTCCAGCCAAGGGATGGAGGTGTGGAGCAGGTGGAGGGGCCACAAAGGTCACACCCGCTGCCCACCCCCACCGGTGGGGAGGACCAAGGGAGGTACAGTGATGGGTTAAAAGTAGGGGGAGCATAAGGATTTTAGGCAGTGAGACCATCCTGTAGGATACAATACCACATGAAAACCATGGACATAGTTAATAATGTATCCATGTTGACTCATCAGTTTTAACAAACGTTCACACACAAATGCAAGATATTAATAATATGCTTGCCTTGACCGGTTTGGCTCAGTGGATAGAGCGTTGGCCTGTGGACTAAAGGGTCCCAGGTTCGATTCCGGTCAAGGGCATGTAGGGGTGTGCCGGAGGCAGCTGATCGATGTTTCTCTCTCATCTATGTTTCTAACTCTCTATCCCTCTCCCTTCCTCTCTGTAAAAAATCAATAAAATATATTTTAAAAAAATAATAATAATATGCTAACACCCGGGCAGTGACCAGACCTCTCACTCATTTTCCTGTAAACCTAAAACTACTCTAAAAAAAATTCTCTTAAACAAAACACCCAGCGTGCATGAGCTCACCTAGCAGCCACACCCCCTTAGAAAGGGCTTCCCTTCACCACCCCCACGCAGTCCTCAGGACACTGCACCCTCACACCAGCACGGAGCTTGACCCTGGACACTCAAGTATCACAGCAAACTGCCCCACATGGCCCTCGGATTTAAACACAAACAAGGCCGGAAAGGTACAGAGCTGCCAGTGCAGATGGTGCCCAGGACAGGGTTGGCAGAGGGGCTGTGACCCTCAATGCATCAGAGGCTCAGAGGGCTCAGTGTGGGGGCTGCATGGAGGACAGCAACACCAGAGAGCTGGCCAGGGCCACCCTGGGCATCCCCCAGCTCCTGCCCACGTGGCTTCCTGGGCTCCAGAGAATGTTACACTCCACCCACCACCACAGACCATGTTCTCAGAAAGCCAGGGTTGGCCCTGCAGGCCCAGTGACAAGGGAGCCAGGTGCCCAGGACCCACATGTCCTTTAGCAGCCTTGTCTGGACAGAGGCAGAAAGGCTTCCAAGTCCCGTAGACCTCAAATGCCCCAGGGCACACCTCCCTCTGAAGAGGCCACCCCACCCCACCAAAGCACCTACACCAGGGCCAATGCAGTGACAAAAACCACACCTGCTGCACTAGGTGCTGACACCGGCCCAGGGCGGGAGTGCTCCCCTCAGGGCCCATGCTCACCCTGGGCTCACCCCCAGGCAGAGCTCCGTCCTGGCCCAGACTGAGACCACACGTCAATCAGAAGCTACCAGCTACCTGCCTTCCTGGGGTTCCTCACCAGGAGGGAGGAAGGGGACGTACGAAGGCCCACCCCTCTGAACACACCTTGGAAGATTCCAGGTACCAGGCAAGCCGGAAGAGAGCTGCAGGTGACAGGTAAGCAGGCACTGCAGCGGCCAGGGGCCAGAGCAGGGTCTCAATTCAGAACCCTACCCAATAAGTCAGGCCGGACAAAGCCAGGGGATGCAGCCACAGGCAGGTGCCTCAAGCAGGCCTATGGGTGTCCACTGGCACCTTGACTCAGCCGGTTAGGAATGAGGCCCTTCTCCCTCCCTCACGGGAAATGGCAGTCCAGTGCATGTGGAGGAAACAGCCGCAGAAGCATGCAGCCAACCGCTGCCAGAAATCCCCAAAGTCAAGGTCAAGGGCAGGACAGTGAAAGCAGAGGGCAGTGCAGGTCCCTCACGCCAGGCTGCCCCAGCCCCTTCTCTCCTGCTTCACGTGTTCTAACAGGTGTGTGGCGTCAAATCACAGCTGCTCAGCCATCTTCAGGAAGGGAGATGGGGTCATGGATAGAACCAACCCCCCTGGAGAGAACAGCCTCTCATCACTGCATTGCCCACACTGCTGACCACTTGACAATCAGCATGACCTGGGTGGGGAACCTCAATGCACCCTGCTCAGCCTTGGCCACGTGTGGAATGTAGTCCAGAAAGGGCCCTCTCTGCCTGCTCCTCCCCCACTGACCCAAACAGTGCCTTCCCACAGTGCTTAACGGGTACCCCAAAGGCTTGCCCCCAGCTCATGTTGGGGCAGCCCTGTAAGACACCCAGCTGTCCAGTGATTGCAGTCCAGCTGGTGCCCTAACCTTGCGACCTCTGTCACTGCAAGGACAGTCCTCTCCTTCTAAGGTGGCCTAAGACCCAAAGGAGGTGGGACTGAGGCCTGGCAGCACCCTCGTCACCACCGCCCCTCTAGCTCTCAGCCCCTGCCCCCAAACCACTCTCAGGCCTCTGCTGCTAACACACCCTCCGCTCAGAACAGTGTCGCTCTGCACACCTGGCCAGAGCTGAATCTGATCCACGCAGCCACCCAAGGGAAACGCCGGGCAGCCACAAGCAGAATTCAGAGCACCCCTAAGCCAGGGTTCCAGCTCAATATGGAAGGGGGACCCCCAACCCTCAACTCCCATACTCTGCATCCCCACCTCTGCAGGTCAGTCAACTGAGCTGACAGGGTGTGACGGGAATAGTCCCAACTATGATACTGACCCTACAAGCAATCACAGGGACAACCATTCCCAAACCTTGGTGAAGGAAAGGCAAGCAGCTCCCCCGTCTGAGGCCCAGGCTGCCCTTCTAAGTGATGTACATGGTCTGGACCAGGGGTGGGCAAACTTTTTGACTCGAGGGCCACAATGGGTTCTTAAACTGGACCGGAGGGCCGGAACAAAAGCATGGATGGAGTGTTTGTGTGAACTAATATAAATTCAAAGTAAACATCATTACATAAAAGGGTACAGTCTTTTTTTTTTTTTTTTTTTTTTTTTTTAGTTTTATTCATTTCAAACGGCCGGATCCGGCCCGCGGGCCGTAGTTTGCCCACGGCTGGTCTGGACAATCACTCAGGTCACCCAACTGGCGGTCAAGACCCTTGTTCTCCAAGTCAGCCCTGGTGCTGTCAGATCTGGGCACACCATGTGGCAGTGTGCCTGCCATTAGTGTCACCCCACAAAATAAGAGGAGCCAAGCTGTCCCCAGTGAGCACCGGCAGCCACTCAGGCCCTGCAGGCAGGAGGGCACTAGCTCGGTGAAGAGAAATGGCAGGGTAGGAGCACAGGCTGTGGGGGAACTCCCCACAGGTCCAGTGACAACCACCACGGACAAAGGCTGAGTCTCTCTGCCCCTGAAAGGAAAAAGGGGGCTTCCTTCCTCAGCTCCTCTGCACCCGCCCGCCCTCCCTCCCGGATCTGACTCGACACCCCAGGCCGAGCACCAAGCACCATCAGCACATGGTAAGAGGCAGCTCACAGCTCCAATTTCTCATTCTGGAACCCACAGGAGCTATTCCTATAGCTCTTAAAAATAAGCTGGAGGCAGGCGTTTCTCCCATCATTAGTCATGTAATTTACCAAATACACAATGTCAGATATGAATGAAAAACCTGTCAGCCTCAGTCAGCAAGCCCTGGCTCCCATCTGTGACCACAGCTGGGCCCAGATACCCTGCCCAACACTGCGTGTGGCCTTCCAGGTTTCTCCAAGGAGCCTGCCTGTGTCTGGAGCTGAACCCTGGCTCCTGCTCCTCCTGGCCGCACACGGACACAGGCAGCTCCTGCTCCTCCTGCACGCTGTTCGCACTGGTCCCCACACGTGCGAGCTGGAGGAGCACTCTCCTTCTCAGAGGTCCTCCCAACATGCAGCAGTTGGCCTGCACTAGCCCAAGCCAGCACGTCAGGAGGAACACCTGCCACCAGGTGGTTCACTCCACTTCGAACCAGCACCACATCACACAGGCGCTGAAATAACAAAAAGGGAGGAGGTACAGACCACGAGTCCCATGCGCACCCCCCTTCCTGGCACAAGGAGCGGGTCCTCATTCCAGGCAAACTCAGGGCACACTTCAGAGGGTCCCTCAAAGGCAGCCGGTGCCACAAAATACAAGAAGCCATCAACCAAAGAAAGACAGCGGAGAGAAGGCCTCGCCCAGGTAAGCACTCCCAGCCTGGGCAAACACGGTTCTGCAGACCAGCCCTGCCCACCTCCCCTCCATGCCCACAGGGGTCCTCTGCTTTCTCTACCTGCCAACTGGTACACGACAGCTGCTTAGTCACATTCGCAGCCTCTCTCAGTGCCCATCAGGGAGGGGTCCCCCAGAGCCCCTCCTCCAGCCCAGGCCCAGCCTCCAGCGTGGACTCTGACCTTCGCTGTCCCTGCGGGTCCAGGTTCCCGCCCTGCCCCGCCCTGTTCCTGAGACAGGTCTCTGCACACCTGCCACTGACCTCCAGTGGTTCCCGGGAGAGGCCTGGGGGCTTCTGCCTCGCAAAACGCCGCCCCAGCCACACGGAGCCAGCCCTGTGCCCGCCCGAGCAGCCCCCGAGGACTGCGCCCCACTCTGCCCACACACGCGCATCACAAGGCTCCCCTTGAAGGCCTCCTGTCATCCCACACACCCTGGAGGGGAGGGCTCCCCTGAAACCCCAGACGTAGGAGAGATACTTATAGGTGCAAAAGGTGCCCCTTCGGGACCTCGGACTCTGCAGGCAGTGCTCTCGTCCCAGGGGACCCAGCGAACGCGCGCTCACAACCCAGAAACCAACCCTCACCTGGTTGGCAAATCCCCTGAGGTGAGCCATGTCTGCGCGGCCCTCAGACCATCCGCCGCAGCCCCGGGAGGCCCTGGATTCCGCCTGAGGCTCTGGAACCCAGCTCGCTCGCTTCAGTCAACTGGAGAGAGAGCAGGCCGGCTCAGTATCCCTCTCAGCGCACACGGGCTCCGCCAGGTCGGGCGGCCGCCCCCTCCTCCGACCATCTGGGAACAAACTGGAGGGGGGGGGGGGGGACAAAGACTCTGGGGGGAAACCCACTGCAGCTGGAGCACTGCCCACCCTGGGCATCCCTGAGGCTCTTCCCACCTCAGGGCCCGGCTCGGCGCTGCCTTCAGGCCCTCTTCCCCGCACCGGACCCCGCCCCCGGTGCCCTCCTCCCCAGCCCCACTCCCCGCACCGTTCGGCCCCCTCCCCAACTGCCCCAGGCGCGGGCTCGCCCGGCAGCGCGCCCACCTCCGGGGGGCTCCATCCCGGCCTCCCCCGGCCCGTTCCGCAGTGCCCGCACAGGCTCCCACCCGCTGCCTTCGCTCGCCCCGGACGCCGGGCCCTCCAACCCGCAAAGCAGCGGCTCTGGCGGCGACAGCCGAAGAAAGGCCGGCGGCGGCCGCGGCGGCGGCGACAGCGAGGGCGGAGCTCGGCGTTGTAGCCCAGCGCGGAGCTCTCTGGGACACCGAGTCCCGCCGCTCGCTCCGGGCCTGGGCATCCGCCAGAGCTGGACTACAAGTCCCGGCAGGCCATGGGGCGGGACGGTGTTGCGGACCGCAGGCGCGCCGCGGGGCTCGCTGGGACTCCGAGTCCAGCTGCCTAAGAGGCTCTGGACTACGTCTCCCGGCAGGCCGCGGGGCAGGGGTGGGGCGGGTCCTGGAGGCGGGGCCGGGTCCTGGAGGTGGGGCCAGGCCGGGCGCTGGTGGGGTAGAGTACGCCCTCCGCTCCTCCTTCTCTTCGTCCCCTCCTCTTCCTTCATTCTCCCCACCGCGCCCCCACCCCCCAGCCCTGCCCCCACCCACCCACCCACGGTGGAGGCCGTGGGCCCTGCGGTGGCAACAGCCCCAGTGTCCCTGGAATGATGAAAGGACCGACGAATTGGGCCTGAAAAGGGAGCACAGTGCAATAAGCCAGACGGAAGGACAACAGCTGTGTGACTCCACGGATCTGAGGTTCCTGGAGGAGTCAGGTTCACAAGACAAATGAGTGGACGGTGGGAACAGGGGTGGGGAGAGGGGGAGAATTAGTGTATTTTAATGGGGACAGAGTGTCAGTTTTGCAAAATTAAAAGAGTGATGGGGATGGATAGTAGTGACAGCTGCACAACCATGTGAATGTTGCTTAACACAAATGAACACTATTAACAGGGTAAATTTAGGATTATGTGTATTTTACCACAGTTATAAATAAGTAAAATGAGATTTAAGAAGGAATTAGTTCTGCTCTGGAGTGTGGACTCCTTTGGTTGAATGTCGTGTACACCAAAAGGTGGCGGGTTCGATCCACGTCAGGGGACAGACCCAGCTTTCAGGTTCAATCCCTGGTTGGCCCTCGTGCAGGAGGCAGCCAATGGATGTTTCTCTCTCACATCCCTCTCTCTCTCTCCCTCTCCCTCTCTTCCTTCCTCGCTCTAAAAATCAATACAATTTAAAAAAAATTTTGAGCCCTGTCCAGTGTTGTTCAGTGTTTAGAGCGAACACACACACACACACACACACACACACACTCTCGCGTGCAGGGAAGGGTCGTGGGTTTCCATTCCCCGTCAAGGGTCAAGGGCGCGGTCAAAGGCACAGTATTGGGTTGCTGGTTCCATCCTCCACCCCCTTGGGGCACATGGAGGAGGCAACCAAACAAAGTGTCTCTCTTACATGATCTCTTTCTCTCTGCCTCCCTCCCTCCCTCTCTCTCAGGAAAAAAAAAAAAAAAATCAATGGGAAAAATATCCTCAGGTTAGGATTAACCAAAAAAATTTCTTTAAAGGAATTAAGTTCTGACACATGCTACAACATGGGAGAACCTTGAAAACATTATGCTAAGGGAAATAGGCCAGTCACAACAAGACAAATACTGTATGATTCCACTCGTATAAGGTGTCAACAATAGTCCCATCCAAGAGATAGAAAGTAGAATAGAGGTTTCAGGGGCCTGGGGGTGAGGGGAATGGGGAGATATTACTTAGTGGGAGCAGAGTTCTGTTTGGGGTGATAAAAAGCCCTGGAAATAGATCATGGTGATGGTTACACAACACTGAATATACTTAATGCCACTGAATTGTACACTTAAAATGTTTCAAATGGTAAATTTTATGTTATATAAATTTTACCACAAATAAAGAAAACCAAAGATAACTGGAGTTTCATCAACATTTTAAAATTTTGCTTTCAAAACGACAGTTACCGGAATGAAAACACAAGCAACAGACTGGGAGACCAAAAGTGGAAATCACACAAACAACTATAGAGAGAGAATATATAGAAAGCTCTCAAAACTCAACAGTTAGAAGACAATTCAATAAGCAAAAGTTGAGACTAGATTTAGCCCTGACCGGTTTGGCTCAGTGGATTGAGCGTCAGCCTGCGGACTGAGGGGTCCTGGGTTCGATTCCGCTCAAGGGCATGTACCTTGGTTGTGGGCACATCCCCAGTAGGGGGTGTGCAGGAGGCAGCTGGTTGATGTTTCTCTCTCATCGATGTTTCTAATTCTCTATCCCTCTCCCTTCCTCTCTGTAAAAAATCAATAAAATATATTTTTTAAAAAATTGAGACTAGATTTAAAGAGACAGTTCACCAAAGAGGACATATGGATGGCAAACAGTGCATGAACAGATGCTCAACATCATCAGCTCTCAGGGGAATGCAAGTTAAAATGATGAGATACTAACTACACACACATTAAGATAGCTACAGTAAAAAATAATGCCCAGCAGTGTGGCTCAGTGGTTGAGCCTTGACCCATGAACCAGGGCACATGCCCAGGTTGTGGGCTCGATCCCCAGCAGGGGGCATGCAGGAGGCATGCAGGATGCTTCTCTCTCATCAAAGTTTCTCCCCTTCTTCCTTCCTCTCTCTCTCTCAAATCAAAACAAGCATAATTTTTTTAAAAACTGACCCTAGCAAGTGTTGACAAGGATAGGGTGACCAATCATTCTAATTTTCCCAGGAGTTTCCCATTTTAACACTGAAAGTTCCCCATCCCCGGAAACACACCCCCCCCCCCCCCCCCGCCCTAGTCCTGGGCTAAGGAGGTGGTGGGTCACTAGGTCACCCCGGTGAGGAGGCAGAGCCCAGGTCTCTGGCGCATTGTAAATTGTGCAGATGCTAAGCGGTGCAGCCCCTCTAAACTCCAGGGGTTTATTGTGTTTTTATTTATTTACTGTTGACAGCGTTGCAGATGCCCCCCATTTTTCCCCTTTGCCCCCCTTCACCCAGTCCCCACCCCACCCCACCTTCACCACATTATTGTCTGTGTCCATGGGCCATGCATACATGAATATACGTTCTTTGGTTACTCTCTTCCCATCCTCCCCCTGAGATCTGTCAGTCGGTTCCACGCATCCATGCCCTCTGGACCTATTTTGTTCATCAGTTTATTTTGTTCATTAGATTCCACATATAAGTGAGATCATGTGATATTTGTCTTTCTCTGGCTTATTTCACTTAGCGTAATACTCTCCAGGTCCATCCATGCTATTGAAAAGGGTAAGAGATCCTTTTATATCCAGCTTGGCATTTTTTTTTTTAAAGTCAACTAGACACTTGACACATGAGCCAGTGTTCCCACTCTTGGGTATTCATCCCAGAGAAGAGAAAGCTGGTCTTCAGTCAAAAGCCTGTACATAGATGTCCACAGCATGTCTATCTCAGAGCCCCTAGCCAGGAGGGACACCCCGGAGGTCCTTCAGCCACACGTGGGTCACCTGAGGTTCCGTACCTGAATCCGTACCTGAAATCGGCCACTGATGCAGCCACCTCGGGTAACCTGAAGAGGCCAGTCCGAAAGGTCACACAGTATGTGATTCCAGAGAGGAGACATTGTAAGAGGACAAAGCTGCGAGGGAGAACTGACCAGTGGTCCCCAGGGGTTAAGGGGCAGCCTGGAGCGGGGTGGCATGAGGGGCTCTCCGGGTGGCCGAACTGCTCTGCGCCCTGAGGCCCACAAAGCTATCCGTATGCTGAACTCAGAACTGAACACTAAAAAAAGGCAATTTCAGCTGAAACCGGTTTGGCTCAGTGGATAAGAGCATCAGCCTGCGGACTGAAGGGTCCCAGGTTCGATTCCGGTCAAGGGCATGTACCTGCGTTGCAGGCATATCTCCAGTGGGAGGTGTGCAGGAGGCAGCTGATCGATGTTTCTCTCTCATCGATGTTTCTCTCCCTTCCTCTCTGTAAAAAATCAATAAAAGTTTTTTTAAAAAAGGCAATTTCACTGTACATATTTTTAAAACAAAGATTTAAAAATTTAAATAATTCCTCCATATCACAGATGGAGCCAGCGTTCCACTTTCATACACGGGTGCCTGTACATGGACATATGATTTCCTGTCTATGACTGTCAAGATCCCAGTAAGGTCCATGTGTCACCATGGGTTGGCTTGTTTCTTTTTCCCTTTGCTATTTAGGTGCTAAAAAAATCCCTCCCCTGTCCTGTGGAGGACCCCAGGCTGAACTCCGTGGCTGAACTTTGTGGATAGACCCTCTCTCCCTCCCCACGCAGGTTCACCTCTCAGGCCCCTGTCCGGTGACATCCCAGTCGCCTTGAGGCTCTATTGTTTCCGTGAGGAGGCCCAGGTGAGCCCTATCAGGCTGCTCACACACTTCCAAGAGGGGGCACAGCAGCATGTCTTCCAGGAAAGTCCTGGAAACCAGGGTATGGAGGACGCCCAGCAGGCGCCCAGGGTGAGCCTGGCTCCACGGCTGAGTGGCGCTGCCTGAGGTTGTGCAGAAGATGGAGACTACGATCCTGACTGCGACCCCAACTCCCTTAGTCACCATGATTAATGATTTCCGCCCCCTGGAAGTCATGGGGGAGCCAAGTCCTTGAGCACGAGCTCCCCTGTGATCCGGGCGTGGCACCTTTACTCCCGAGGCCACAGACTCCTGTTCTGTGCGTGGGCTTTGAGTGCACAGGGTAACAGACCCCTTTAGCTTGGAACACCTACAGGGAAGAGAATGGTGGGGAGAAAGTCGGGCAAGGTGGCACCCAGGGGTTGGGGGACACAGGTCCTCATGGGGGGGTGGCAGCAGGCCCAGGTTGGGGATGGGGGCTGCAGCTTGGAGGAGGCTGCCTCGGTGCAGGGTGAGGGGTGGGTAGAGCCAAAGGTACCAGGTTCTCAACACCTGGGTGGGAAAGAAAAGATGCCTGAGGGGGGCCTGGGGCACCTTCTGAATTTCAAAGGCTGGGCACCCCCCCACTTCCCCCACCCCACCCCCGCCCCCATCCTCCCCACCCCCATCTCCACCACCTGGCCGTGCTTGGGGGAGGGGGGGCAGGAGGTGGAGGCTTACTGCTGACCCGCTTGGAGGGGCTTCTCTGCCACCAGAGTTCAGATTCCCCTGGGGTCTCCAGGCCCAGTGGCCCCAGGTAAAACACAGTGTCTTCTCTCCCTGCCACTCCCTCCAGGCCTGTCCAGCTCTCTGTGG